CACACTAAATCCGCCCGCATCATATATCATTTATGGTATCTTGCTCAGCTATTTAAACTATTAGAAATATAAGGTCTATTTGGTCTCGTTATTTTCCAAAAATAAAAAATATCATTTTCAAAATCAAAATTATGTTAAAAATTAAATTCAAATTTAAAATTTTATTTCAAAGTGGCCAAAAGTTATTATGTTCCAGTTCTTTGGCTGATTGATGTAGGAAAACAAATCATCCCAGCTTGGTATCATCACTTCATCTCCCTTATTCTTAGAATTTCTCCATTTTGAAGGTGGCTCATCCTTTAAGACTACCTTTCCCTTTCTCTTATTCTCTGCCCTCTGAAGAGCTCACTCTTAGACCTCTTCATTGGCAGAGGGCTCCCCTTCCTCACCCTCAATAGTTATCCCTTGCCCTAGAGCTGAGGCTGAAAACATGATTTGTGCAACTAGTACTGTGACAATTGAAGTGCCTCCCACCTCTTCCTCCTACCAACATGATTCTTCTAAATTGGCTTCACAAAAAACTACCTCCTATTTTTCCCCATATTTTGAGGAGAGAGTTTCTACATAAGACAAGATTATTTTGTTCACTCATCTCAATGAGGATTAACTCATTGATCCTTGATCTCGACTTTCTATATATATGTAAAATGTGTTGTATGCGATTATAAGCTTAATTTCCTTAATAGAGATTCCTAGTTTGCAACAAAGTCAAAAACTTGATCCAAAGAAAAAGCAAGGTTTTCACTAAGAAGCAAGTAAGAATATAGTTATAATATTTAAATATGGGATACTACACAAGTATACATATTATTACCAAGTAATATAGGACTTTTTAATTAAGCCCCGAATATCAAACCCATAGAGAAACTGACAATATGCACTTTATAAAGCTAGAAAGTTTAGATGACAGAAATCTACTTAGCAAAATATTCTTACTTAAACTTAAGGTGTTATAATAGGAATAAAAATTTGATTCTTTTTGTATTTTTTTATTTATGAAAATAAAGTAAGAAACTATTTAACTTAACTAAATATTTACAAGATGAAGGCAATATAAGTAAAATATCTTTTTTCCTTATCATGAATTAGTAATGAGTATAAAAATTTTATTTTGAAAGTATTTTATATGTGTTGTACCAAATAGGAGCAATAATATTCTTTATCCTTACTAGAGATGCTATAAAGAACATTGGCTAATCTATAGTTTGAATAGTCCTAAAGACTGGTTAGGTAAGGAAGTTACTAGCTCTCACTCTAGAGTTCTCTCTTCTCCCCTCCCTCCACCCAAGGGCTAATATCTCATATCAAAATCTAAAACTATAAATCAAATTGGGAACTTTAGCCTGTCACTCTAAAGTCCTCTAATTCTACACCCTTGAAAAGTTTATTTCCCTATTTATTTGCACTCAACCCCATGAACTACATTCTCATTCACTAAATCAATGTGTGATTCTAACCATTTGTTGACTGA